AGGACAGTTTAGATGAAGTTTCTTAATAGTTGAACAGTCGAACAAATTCAGGTACTTTAGCGGTTGTGTAGTAATGTTTACCGTACTTATCTCGCGACATTTTTCGAGATTTAGATGAGCTACGTTTGGGCAACCGGATAGAGCCATCTGCAGTACGTAATCTGTCATTTGACAGCGGTACAGTACTACTGTCTTTGCCAGCCGTGTACAGATGGACAAAAGGCCAAATTTGCAATCAAATAGGCGAAGAAATCCTATGGCATTTAACGCGTGTATGACACAAGACTGCAGGTTGAGTTGGTCATCACTGCATAAATTCATCTCTATGCAGTCTACACTGACACATTGTATAGTCACTGTCTTCAGCGCGGGTAAACCGACCATGACAACTTTACACAGATGGTTTGCTGTTATGTACATATGGTTCAGTGTGATTATATCTTCTTCCGCTTCCGTGTGAAGATACCGTATTGACGGACTTCGTACATGCAATGTTTCACAATCGAAGTCCCCAAGCAAACAAAGTTCTTCTACGCTTGGAACCATATATTCATCCAATGTAAGGCTATCTTGAGAAATACATCCAAGTCTGAGACACTTCAGACCGATATTTGAACGAAGTGTGTCTTTGAATGATTTCATATCAATGACGTCACACTGTGATATCTCTAGCAATGAAAGTTTTTCACTTTTGATTTTTAATGTGCGTAGGCTGTTCGAGCCGTTGACGCATGCGCGTCGAAGGGTTTGCGCGATAAGTTCGACGTGTTCCAAGGACTCCATCCCATAGTCAATTATCACGTGACGTAGTTTTGGCGCGTAAATGCTGATGAAAGTCGTGCTCCATACGTTAAAAATGTAAAATTTCTGCAGGCTGGCAGACATTAGTCTTACACCGTGTAATTGCTACAACAAAAATATATTTATTAAATGAATGATTAAACAGTAGAAACATTGCTCTGCATTCCATTCGGGAGTTTTAATTATTAAATGTGGTAATTAAAGCTCAATTGTAAAATGACGTCATTGCATCAAACATGCATAAAACACGATTTGTGATAGAAGCAGAAACATCATCGAAATCTATGTGCAAACACAGTTTGTAAATAAATCAATTTATTTTTCTTAATAACAATTCTTAATGTATGCTACCGACAATTTTGAATTAATCAGTGCATTAAATATATCCAAAGGCTGACATCATATTTTTCCATTTTCAAAATACAGTCTGAATATTCATGTACTTTTCAATTAAAAACAAAGTTGATTAAATGCAAACTTTTGTTTCTAAAAATGTTTTAAATACAGTCGTGATCAAATTTAAGTTTAAAGGCTTCTACTATCATTGCGTATTTTCAGAAATCATTTCGTTGCGATCATATAAATTAAAAAAAAAAACAAAAACAAAAACTTTATATATTTGTTTAAAAAAATATAATAATACCTCACAATTGCTGATGCTTAGTTTACGGAGCACTTTCAGTTTTGTTTACAATTTTCCCAAATAGGTCCTCCATTTCCATGGAAATGAAGTGCACACATAGCACGGTAACAAGGTTACACAGTGGCTCGAACTTTAAACCATTAAATATTTCGAAACCCTGTCTAATTGCCGTCTCGCTCCGGCCGTTTTCCAGTTGCAAATTAGAATTAATCTTGATATGTACATCTTCCAGTGAATTTAATAGAGGTAAAATAGATCGGATGCCATCGATAGTAATATTCCAGCATGCGTTTAGTGTAACTGACTTCAGTGCCGGCAAACGTCGTGCAATGTCCATAAGTTGCGAATCTGTTAACGAATAGCCTCCATTTATATAAATTTTCTCCAAATTTGGTAAAGCACAACATGTGTCTATCACTCTTTTAGTCCACAAAACAGGAATCCTTAAAACTCTAAGGTTTTTCAAAAGAGGGACGCAAGAAAAAATAGCTTCATAAACTGATGTATTTTCCCGCCAAATTAGCTTTTGTATATGATGTCCATAAAGACGAAACAGGCAAACCACCATTTTGAAATGCCATTGTTTGTAGAACGTTGGATCTATGATAATGGTCTTCCATAGCGATCCGTAGAAATACAACACATCGTGCCACTTCCGGCATACTAATGCAAGAGCCGGTAAGACGTCATCTATTGGTTGTAAAAATCTAAATATTGCAACCAAAATTTCATTTGGAACATTTTCTATTGTAACAACCATCGGAACCGATACCTATATATCCAAACTAAGAATTTTCAAAACATCGTGCTGCTCATTTCGAAAAATTGCGTCTTCCAATATATTTCCTTACCATCTGGGATGGCATGTATCCATTCATTGTTAAACTCATAACCTTCCCTGTTATATTGTAGTTTTAGTTAGACATCTGTTGCTGTTCATATGATTTTCCCATCTACGTCATTCCGTTTGATTTATAGGCAGACAATAACAAAATAAACCATTCATCTATAATTGTCCATTTTTTTCTTTTGCAAAAGTAATATTTATAATTTTCCGGTTCGTTAAAAGCCCCTATAGTGTGCTAAATTGAAGTGTGTGTTGGTTTTTTTTTCAATAGTGAATGAAGCCTCTAAGCGTTAGCAGGGTTAATATAGCAGTGAAGGAAAGATTTTTATGATGTCATTTTGACTCGATATCAAACACATGTTGCCAGTCAGATGTTATTATATACGTCATAAGAACATTAGTCATAAGATAAAAATGATATCTAATACAGTCAATGCTGTCTCCATATGATATGTCAACACGTGCAAATAATATTCGGTCAATCATATTATGATGTAATTTAAAGACAAAAAAAATATTTTTATCTTAGATTCTAACACGGTTCTTCTTTCAATGAATGAATAAATGAATGAATGGACGAGTAAAAAACAAAATTACGAACAAACGAACGTGCAGAGGAGTAAACTAACGAACGAACGAATGAATAGATAAATAAATGAAAATAAATGAATTATTGATTGATCGATTTCGAATAAATGAATGAACGAATGAATGATGAATGAATGAATGAATGAATCAGGCAGAGCTTCGATACCGCCGTAAACCCCGAGAGCTAGATATTCCGGTCTGTACCGGCAACCGGTGTAAGATTCTTATATTATACCATAATTATACAACACATGTGACGTTAATAGAAATGTACTTAGTCTAGCTTTTTTACCAAAAATAAATGGAGTATTAAAAAAAAAAACACAACAACAAGAAAACAAACAAACAAACATACAAAAAACCGCATGCATTTGCTAGATTAGATACATTTCAATACAAGTATGCAGTATATTATTTTAACTGACACGCTTTAAAGAGAAAGAGCGAAATACAGTACATCATTATAGTTACTATAAGATCCGGTAACACAATGAAAATATACCCTGCGTGTTTAATTTCATCAGTAAAATATGGTAAATACCTTATATTCTATAAAGAAGTATGTAAAATATGTGTGGTTGTAAATACACAGCAGGCCTATGTTTCTTTCAAAAACATTCAGTTGTTGCATTTTCTCATAAAGTTACGCCCTTTATTTAAATATTGTACCTTGGCCTCACTCATCCAAGCGTTTTTTGCTAATTTCAAAGCAGGCCTGTATTGTAACTGATATGATTGTTGGATACATACTCGCGGTGACTTAGTAATCTTCTTTTCAATATAAACGGTGGTTAACGTCAAGTGTTTATGTAAAGAACGATTTCTTACTTTGAATAAAAAAAATGAAAAAAGACAGAAAATGTAGAAACTGGTGTATTGTTAATTCAGTGTTGCAAAACGATTTACATGTGCAAGCTACAATCCGCCTAATAGAGAATTTGCGTTCGATTTGAAGAGCGCGGCTAACTGTAAGCCGGTTATAGGTTAATTCGTTCGCTCGAAATTTAATATCTTAAAACTCTGTATCTCACGGATCAGAACTGTTCACTACTTAGGGGAGAAGATGTGTAAGCGGCCGGATAGCTCAGTCGGTAGAGCCGCGGTACGGTATTCCGAGGGTCCCGGGTTCGAGTCCCGGTCAGGCTGCACATTTTTCTCACCCTGTGACATTTGGCGCCCAACGGGGGACCGTGACTGATATAGCTCAGAGTTTAATTTACATTGCTCTGTAACTCTGTGAAATTCGAGGACGAATTTCAATATAGCAGGGGAGTATGTCACGGTTCAGAACTGTTCACTATTTAGGGGAGAAGATGTGTAAGCGGCCGGATAGCTCAGTCGGTAGAGCCGCGGTACGGTATTCCGAGGGTCCCGGGTTCGAGTCCCGGTCAGGCTGCACATTTTTCTCACCCTGTGACATGTATATAACCTATAACCTATACTTATTGCTTATTGATTTGTTGTCATGTTGAAATGTTTGTTTCTATATCTTGTAGTTTATCTGCGGCGTACTAGTGTCTTTCATCAGTAACTGATGAAAACACCTTTGTGTTGTATCAGGTATTTTTTATTATCGCATGGTTTGGGACTTTTCCTTTGTTCTTACTAACCCATTATACTCAGTACACTTCAACGAGCATTTCAAAACTGTATTGATATATAACAGTACAGTTTTTTCATTGATTCATATAGGGAAAAAACTCGACTGTTATATATCGGTCGAGTTTTTTCGCACCTGTTATATATCAATGCAGTTTTTTTTCCATAGAGGCTCCAATGGGGCAGTGATAACGACCATTCCCGGTCAGTAGCAAAAAGAAAGAAAAAAATGGAATCAATAGAATAAAATAAAATAAAATAAAATGAAATAAATAAATAAATACAATGAAAAATATAAACAAAGATAACTAATGAAATGAAATTTACTCTCATTTAATCAAAAAGGTACATCCGCTGAATGAATTATTTCCACTGAAAAAAGCCCTTTACTTAATCTTGAATCAATATTTATTCGCCTCTAACATTGGATGTCTCTTGTATATCTTATTTTTGCGGCAGCGAAAACAACTTGAAAAAAACTGCCTTATCATGAATAGCTGTAATGTAGCTTACGATTTATTTATTTATTTATTTATTTCTATTACAAAAAAGAAAACATTATGCCATTGCGATAAAACAGTTATAGTATATGAAACTCGTTAGTTACGGGGGTATAACACTGGCTGGGGCGACATCTCGGGATGTTTCTGCAAAAAAAAATTGTCTCGGCCTAACGGCCTCGACATTTTTTTGCAGAAACACCCCTTGATGTCGCCCCAGCCAGTGTTATATCCTCGTAACTAACTCGTTTCATGTACTATAACTATTACATATATTTAACAATCTACATTGCCTTCTCTTCTTTGTTATCAGTTTGTTTAAATTTGTATAAACAACTCATATAATGAAACAAA